AAAAAAACCTGTTAAACCCGATATCCTCGTAGCCTCACACCGAACAGGAAAGATGATTATCCCCTTAATCAGGTATTCGGGTCGAAGACGGGGCAAAGGACTTCAACCATGGGGCCGATATGGGTAACAAGGGCCCTGTCCCGCCTTGCCCAACCCCGTTTAACTTTTTTTTTTTTTTTGTCAAGAATTCAATATTTTAAATTGAAAACTTCACGAAATTTCATTAGTTCGAATAGAAGATGTCATCTAAAATTATCTAAATAATATAACAAACAATAAAAGTCTTAATTTACTACATATATTTAAACAATTTAACTTTTAAAAATAAATAAATTAATTAAAAAATTTAACAAATATTTTATTGTCTCACTTTAATGAATGGGAGGTATAAAATGGATTATCAAATTTTTTTTTTTTAAAAAAGAAAAAATTAAATAGGTACTAAAAGGGGCAAGAGCCCGCCCCACTCCCGATACCCGACCCTGACCTGCCTCGTTCCCATCATTAGCACAACTAAACAATGTTCAATTTTACAAAGTACACACCACGTTTCATCAAGAAATGCTGTCAGATATAAATTTCTCTGACAACCTCTTCAAAGCCAAAATTACACAAAAGAAAAAAAAATATAAAATATCGGATATCAGTCTCTCTCCAAGAACAATATACAAATCCTCAAACTCTCTTTTTACATCAAACCTCACCAAAAAAGAAGAAATCGGGAAGAAGACGAAAAGAACAGAGAAAGAGAAAAACAACGGCCTAAAAATTTTCTCCGAAATTCAATGGTCATAAAAATGCCACATGTCATTATCTTGGTTGTTTCCAAGTTAGCACTGAAATTTATTTTGAAAACACTAGGTAACAAATTAATCAATGAACAGAGTCCGCAGTCCAAGTAAGTCATTGGGCTTCATCAATTAAAAGTGGCCCAATTGTTAAGTATTAGCACTACAAAAATGTAACCAGCAAGATTTCGAGGAAATTAGGCCTTGTACTTGTAAAAGTACGTATTTTGATTAGGAAATTAGGCCTTGTACCCTATAAAAATAAGTATTTTGATTAATACCTTTTAAACTAATTAAATATTTTAATGAAGTAAAAATTACGTCCTAATCTAAACAATGAAGTAAAACTCCAACCCTCAGAGTAATTCGATAGAAAATACCCATTTCTCATTGCTAGAAAACTCTCTCTAGAGGCCATTTCACCATCTCCAAGAAAACTCAACTTCAAATCTCCATTTTGACCCTTTTTCTGTCGATTTCGTATTTGTACCTTCGTCTTCGTTCATCTTCTCCTTCTAATTTGGCATAGATCTTAAACATCTACCATTTCAATAATCTAACCCTAACTTGTTCCCATTAAAATCCAGAAATCTGAATCTGATTCCGCCTTATTCACTCCAACGTCGACTCCGATAACTAACTCCGACTCCTATTTCTGCATTGGCTGGAAAAAGTAGATTGAAGATAAAAAAAAATATTGATGAAGAACTATCTTTAAAGAAGAAGAAATCTTATAAAATCAAGGTAGCATTAATTTCTCCAATTTCCTCTCGTGTGTATGTTTTATTTTTTGTTCCTTTCTGGTTTAAATATTTTGTATGTGACTTCTGGTTTTGTTCATTGCCTTTTGTTTTGTGTAAATTGAAATATGTATATAAACTAGTTGGTGAGAAGCATTATTTTATAGGCATTTTCTTGATTTTGTTTTTTAAGGATAAATGGGGGATTTTATTGAAGAGTTCATTTTATAGGCATTTTCTTGATTTTGTTTTTTTAAGGATAAATGGGGGATTTTATTGAAGAGTTCAAACATGGTTTTGGGTTTATGGGATTGTTGAGATTAGAGAGGGCATGGAGGGATGGTGGCAGGCAATACAAGATTGGGTTAGGCTGGAGGCTATCATGTAGTCACTAGGAATGGGGAATGAAACAGTTGTTCAATAATAAAAGTAGCAGAGGACTTTATTTAAGAGTACATGTTTTGGTGCCTTCATTGATTCGAAGGAAATAGTGTTGTAGCCAAAATTAATACACCAGTTGCAACTTAGGCAAGATAAGAAGCCTAATTCAAATGAAATATGGTACAACATCCATAACGAACTTGCCACTTTTGATTACATTAGTTGGTTTAGATTACATATATCGTTTTTTCATTCCCATATTGCTCATCCCAGTGATTTGAAAAATCATTTGGAGTTGAGGGCCCATCAGGGATATGATATTTTTTGTTTTCTTCGAAAGGATAATTTTAGTGGCTATCGTAGTTGGTAATTTATTTGATTGGATAAAACAAATAGCAGTAACCTAGCCCCCCAACATAGCTTTTGTTGTTCGTGGAATGGAAATATTTTACCCTGCTTTGCATGTTTAAGCACATTAAAGTCTTTGAAGATGAATTGTTAATAGGGAACTGGCTATTTGTTCCCTCTTTTTCATATATAACAGATATGCCTAATACATTTATAAAATCATAGGTGAAATGTATCAACAAACTAACAGAGACTCTTTTGGAGCGAGCAAAAGATACTTTAAGGGATGATGGTTCAACAGCTTCACTGGCAGTTGTAGTTGGCAATCACCCATAAGTTGCTAATGTTGGAGATTCTCGAACTATAATATCAAAGGTGCAGGAATTTGGAAAAAGCCAAGTCTTCAGTCCATTAAGGAGCCTTGTTGTATTGAAATGTTTGGAGCTATGTCATACAAATTTTCAGTAGGATTGAGCTAGCTGTGATTGGCAACATTCTTGTAAAAGGCTTAACTTCTTTGACTTGTGTCACTGTACAAACTATCCATGGGGTGGGATTTGCATTGTCACCCAGAATTGATGCTTTGTCTGGACACTTGCCTCAAGTCATATCCATTTGCAAATGAAACATAGTTTAATTAAAAATTAATTATAATCAGCTTAATATTATTAATTGTTTTTTTTTCATTTTTTT